TGGTTTTTCACAGGAAATATTTACAGCAGAATTTACCAACAAACCACCCTCTGCTCTCGACAATAGTCTTTACGAATGTGAGCGTTTTTCACAGCCTACAAGAACAACTTCAACTTGGCGATTCGAGCTGGATGCACCCGACAGGTATTCCGCCCTACATTGAGCTCTACAAAAAACTTGATAAGCAGCAGCAGTCTATCGACTTACTTCCTGATAAACTTGAGCAAAGAATGGAAGCGATATTGAAAAAGAAAGGTGTGGCAGCGGGTAATATAACGAGGGACCTTTTGCATGAGGAATTAAGAGCGTTATTAGAAGAGGTTGGGCTTCAAAAAGAGAAATCAGCGGCCTTATCAACTTTATCGACAGCACAAACTCGCTATTATCATACATGGGGTGGGAAATTTCACGTGCTTCCAAAAGACTTCGCCTTTCCAAGTATCGATCCGCTGGGGGCGTGGATACTGTGGTGGTTCGGCAATCCGGAGCTTAACTATCCACCATACAAGGGTATACCATCGGACGATCTGGACACGCCACAAAAGAAAGCAACACTGTCAGAGTGGTCAGTTATGATGCGGCATATCATAAACGGGATTGAAAAAGACCTTGGAAAACCGATGCCGGCCATCCGTGACGAAGTTCATGCCATCGAGCTGTTTAAGATTGGGTACAACACACTGGAGTTAAGGCCAAGCAAACGAAAACGGAGAAATGCCCAAATCAAGCTCACCACAGTACTAAGACTCATCAGGGAAGCCGGCCAGGAGCAGAGAAGTCCGGATGGCATATGTGGGCGGCCACTTAGGCGCCGGAAGCGGCGCACGCGCCACAGCAATAGTACCTGTGCTACAGGGAACTCGTCAGTGCGTGATGAAGAGTAAACTTTCTAGTGCACGACTCAGCGTTAAAATAAATGTTTTTATCCAATCAAAAGTCTCCCCCATAACGTCGGCGATTGCATCTTACGTTTTCTCAACTCAATTGATTCCTGTACTTTCATAAGTAATATATTGAGTTTCGCGTCAATTCGTAAGCGCTGACCACTTACCTTTTATCAAAAAGAAATATTCTTACTCGTATTTTGACAAAGGCTCACTATACAACGCCTTGCCATCCCGAGTTTCCAACAAATCGTAAGTGGAATCGTCTTACGATTATACGCTGTTCCAATTGGCCAAAAATTGATTTAAAACTACCCAGAAGCCACTGTAAAATGAGTGAAGGAAGCGCGCAACAGACCAGCGAAAGCGCGGCCTGCGGTATGGCTGTAGCTGACGTGGAGGCAATCCGAGATGCCTGCGTTACCAAGGAAGCACGAGGGAAGTACAAGAGTAGCTTGAACGGCATTGCAAAGTGGATTCGCAAGGAGCTTGCTAAAGTCGACCACAACACGGATCGATTCTTCGACAGCAATGGTGAACTTAATCTATTGGAGTTCACGCCTCCGTATTTTGAGCAGTTTCTTGTTTACAAAAGCCGTGATGTGAAAGCTGGGACACTAAGTGGTTATCGGAGTGCAATTAAGGACCTGTATAGAGTGAGGCGTCTAGCTTTGCCGCCTGAATATGGAGATGGAATGAAACAGCTTTTCTCGGGAATGAAGCGCATGGAGGCTGATAGTGACCAGATTAGTAACCCGAAGACGTCCGGGAAGCAGCCATTGACCTACTCGCTTTACCAGAAGCTCTGTAAAGAAACTTTGGAACTTGGTGATGGAGGTTTTTCTCATCTCTTCCTAATATCCCAATGGAATTTAATGTGCAGATCAATATCTGTTCAAACCGTACAAACTCAGCATTTTGTGGCTAAAGACGATGGCATTGGTGTAATATTTGTCAAGACAAAAACGAATCAGGAAGGCACTGGGCCGCGTGATCCTCGTCACGTTTACGCGAATCCGCTAAGTCCTTCTACGTGCTGGGTAACAGCGCTCGCAATTTACTTGGCGTGCCACCCGAGATTGCAACAGGGGCCACTATTCCCAGGGTCCAACCAGAAGCTTCGATTTAGTAAGACTTTGGGTAGTCTTCTAAAACTCGATGGCTCCGCAAAAACCTATGGTACTCACTCGGTACGAAAAGGTGTCGCGACATTTGCGTGCGGTGGGAGTACTGGGGGTCCTTCAATTGTGAGTGTTTGTTTACGCTGTGGTTGGTCACTTGGTGGAGTTCAGGATCGCTATTTCCGCTACGAAGCAGCAGGAGACCAATTTTTAGGTCGCGTCGTTGCTGGGCTGCCTATAAACGATTCAAAATTTGCTACACTACCGCCACATTTTAACTCCACCGGTGATAGCGCAACAACATCAGTGATGAGAACGGTTTTTCCGAGTCTTGCGGATGAACCTAATTTAAACGGCATTTTACAGTTATGTCTGGCGTCGCTGGTTTTTCACAGGAAATATTTACAGCAGAATTTACCAACAAACCACCCTCTGCTCTCGACAATAGTCTTTACGAATGTGAGCGTTTTTCACAGCCTACAAGAACAACTTCAACTTGGCGATTCGAGCTGGATGCACCCGACAGGTATTCCGCCCTACATTGAGCTCTACAAAAAACTTGATAAGCAGCAGCAGTCTATCGACTTACTTCCTGATAAACTTGAGCAAAGAATGGAAGCGATATTGGAAAAGAAAGGTGTGGCAGCGGGTAATATAACGAGGGACCTTTTGCATGAGGAATTAAGAGCGTTATTAGAAGAGGTTGGGCTTCAAAAAGAGAAATCAGCGGCCTTATCAACTTTATCGACAGCACAAACTCGCTATTATCATACATGGGGTGGGAAATTTCACGTGCTTCCAAAAGACTTCGCCTTTCCAAGTATCGATCCGCTGGGGGCGTGGATACTGTGGTGGTTCGGCAATCCGGAGCTTAACTATCCACCATACAAGGGTATACCATCGGACGATCTGGACACGCCACAAAAGAAAGCAACACTGTCAGAGTGGTCAGTTATGATGCGGCATATCATAAACGGGATTGAAAAAGACCTTGGAAAACCGATGCCGGCCATCCGTGACGAAGTTCATGCCATCGAGCTGTTTAAGATTGGGTACAACACACTGGAGTTAAGGCCAAGCAAACGAAAACGGAGAAATGCCCAAATCAAGCTCACCACAGTACTAAGACTCATCAGGGAAGCCGGCCAGGAGCAGAGAAGTCCGGATGGCATATGTGGGCGGCCACTTAGGCGCCGGAAGCGGCGCACGCGCCACAGCAATAGTACCTGTGCTACAGGGAACTCGTCAGTGCGTGATGAAGAGTAAACTTTCTAGTGCACGACTCAGCGTTAAAATAAATGTTTTTATCCAATCAAAAGTCTCCCCCATAACGTCGGCGATTGCATCTTACGTTTTCTCAACTCAATTGAATCCCATACAATTATCTATTTTGCGTTGATCTCTTAATAACATTGCAGCTGCATTAACGGGACCCCTGCTGCCAGTGGCTTATGTAGCTCTAACGCAGGCGTACACATCCAAGGCTCTATTTAAGAGCTTGAATGCATTAAGGGAGACTCCGTGATGGATTTCACTTCAGGGACCATTAGCCCCTGGTTGCAGGACGCACTTTGTTAAAATAATGCATGTAGTGGTCACAAAAATGTTTACGCTTCCGACTGCTTATGCCGTTTTCCAAAGTTCGTCCAATCACAAGAGCACAAAAATGCCCCTCAACAATATCGGTATTAAAAGCCTCACACTCACGTATTGACAATCGTATCACTATGAATGAGCACGTGGAGTCTGCATGTATTAATACCGACAGTCCATGCAACGTGTCGGTGTTTGCTGGAGAACTCGTGGTTGACGAGACCCAGAATCCAAACAAGAAACGCATTCGCAGGAATAAGCAGGAGCTGGATCACCTGCGACGCGAGTCCAAGAAACTCGAAGATGAACTAGCACAGCTGCTGCAAATACAGGCACACCGACCCAGCCTGAGTTCGATCAGACCGAAAACAAGGCCGAAAGAGAAGATGGTAGCAGCTCCCGGCTATTGCACAATCGCACCTCGGCGGCTTGTGCAGAAACCCTCGATGTGGCAAGGAATTGCTGAGCGGCAGTCGATCGAGCGAGGTCGAGCTCTAGCTCGAAACGTGGAGCTCCGAGCTCAGCTTGAAGCCGAATATAAGCTTGGACGACAGCTAATTCAGCTGTTAGATCGTCAATTCTACGCAAAGGTACGTCGATTAAAACGCCCTTTGCACGTAGGCTGATTATTTTGCTGTTCTAGGCGCTCATTCAGGGAAAGTGCCATGGGCCTCTAATAAGACAAGATGATGTATTCAAGCAACAGCTACAGCAAGCGGAGGATACGCTTCTGACGATGAAGAAGGAGCTACTAGGACGTGTGTTTAAAGACTCCAGCGCCACCAACAAAAACGTCTTCGCCGCCATCGTTCTTTGTCCAGAACGATGGCGGCAAAGACGTTTTCGTTATGCAAGCCAGCGTAACGCTGCCATTTAGTGTACAAGCCACCGCTAGCGCTCTCTGGAAAGTGCTCAGCACCGATGAGATAATGAAACACTGCTATCACCACCGGGTTGCGCACAAGGCAGAGAACGTGGTGGCGCAATCTTTTGGCATTCGCTTCGAGGACGACAGCTTGGACGCGGATATCCGAGGAAACTACACCTTCTCGCGGCTCCAAGATGACGATTGCTTTGTCATCGTGTGGGTGGCAGCAAACGAACCCGTTGAGTTGAATGGGACTAAATGCCGTGGTGAAATATCAGAACGGACAGAAGCCAAGGCGACTCTAGTGCGGTCGTCCTCTCGTCTGCATATCGAGTCAGTTGCCGAAGAAACTCCACCGTTACGACCCCTTGTTAGTTTTGCACAGCGCTTCCATGACCGATTCATGGCTACACATTCTTCCGTACTGGAGAAGGCTCTGATTGAAAAATAAATGGCAGTCTTTAAAAACGTATAAAACATTTTCGCACGACTAATGTTTAAAACATATTTGTACTTTAGTGATTGTACCCATTTTCACCACTCGGCCCAAACGGATTCATTGAGAGCCATACTAACGTCGATACTGTCTGAGATGGTCGTGTTCGACTGGTTCAGCTGGTCTTCAGTGGCCATAAAGTAGATGAGGCCATCTATAAGTGAAATGGGTGTGAATGGTTGAGCTACAAGTGCAGGTGGGACGTCAAGTTCGGAGCCTCTGTACATCTCAAACTTGTTCCATTGGCTCACCATCACGCCACCTTGATAGCGAAGTCGTACTCGGTCCTTGTCCGGCTGTGCAGCCAGCCAGCGCAAATTCCGTTGCACCTCTGCTGGGTCCAGACGCTGCACACCCTTGTGAACTGCAGCAGCGATAGTGGACAACGGAGCGTCCAGCAACTCAGCAGCAGACAGCGAGAAAACGGGACACAAGACACAGTTCGGGAAATACCGCGGCGATATGTTCAGTTGACTCCGACTGCGTAAGTCAAGAGACGCCAGGGATTGACGCGGCACTTGAAGTGCGGCTTCGTGTGAGCTCAAACATTGAGCTCTGCATTGTCGTGTGCGAGCACGGTAGATGCTCTGCCACAAGTGCGCCGCCAGCGCACAGAAAGTTGATACCGGATTTTCTTTATCAGCATTGGCGGCGGCCTTGATACGTGCGAGCTCGGTCGATGAAAACCGGAGGACGCGGCCGATGACGCGCTCCGGTGTCGCAATATTATCTGGTACGTCTGGGGCCTCCGGTGCGAGCTCAAAGAGCGTTGGGCTCACTGCGAGGGCTTCCAGTCTTTCTTCGGTTGACAGCTGTAGATCCGAAAAGAGCGACTGAATACTCGGTGGTGGGATGGAGATATTTGCATGGCGACCTTGATCTAGATCGCGGAATCCGCGGTACAATTGTGCCAAGTCGCGTGCTAATTAAAAGAACCCAGAAGCGTCGCAAATGATGTGTCGAAGTCGCAGAGCAACTGACACACTGCCACACGCAAAGCGAGTGTGCTGTACCGTTAAGATCGCATCACGACCCGCACCGGCTTCTGTCGCGTCGAATTCTGGCAGCAATGCGTTGCCTCCATCTGGCAAGTTCGTGACGATAAGCTGAGGGGAAGATTCAGATTGGCCATCATCTTTTACAGTCTCGAACGACGTAAGCGGTTCGCTGCATTGTGCGGAGACCAGCTTGGCGCCGGCTCCTAGCTGTTCGATACGCGGCGCTTTATCCACAGGGTCGACGAGAATGCGCCCTGTTAGATGCGGGTAGAAGTCAAGTAATCGCTCCAGGGCACGACGAAGTCTGTCGATTGGGATCAGTTCTTCGACTGCGGAGTTGGTCGAGCGGTACACGAAGACAACAGCAAGCGGAATACCAAGTAGATAGCGCTGGTCCAACGGGCCGAGCCGTGTGGGTAGCTCGACGGTTTGGAGAGAGGCTTCATCCGCACATTGCAGCGAGACTTGTTCCGTCATGCTTACGGTTGACGAGAGGTCCATTGGAGACGCGGTACTTTATGACTGAGATCGATAGAAGTTCTACATGTATTAGAACGCGTCCGTGGAAACGATCGTGGAACTTGGACACTGGTATGATACCAAGTGTTTAAGTATGATACCAGTGTCCAAGTTCCACGATCGTTCCACGTGGTATCATTGCACAATCAAGGTGGTCCACATCAAAAAATGCATTTGCAATTCAGTCAGGGATTGATAGAAGAATGACAAACTACTTGATTAGAGCAATATTAGCGAGACGAGGGGAAGCGCCACTATAGTAGTAGTAAGCATACTACACTCCTGGACACAATGATACATGTACTGCCACCTCGTCGAGTGCCCATAACTCAGTCAATTTTTATTATTTGACGGTGCGGTTTTCACACAAGTTGAAAAACATGCTTTAGGATGCGGTAACGCTCTCGGTTTGACACTGTATAGGGAGGGACACATACAGAAAATAAGATTTGTCT